GTGTTTTGGGCAAACCAAAGCCGTTGCCGTGGCAGCGGCTCCGCTGTGGTTTGTGGCTACCAGATACATGGGACTGGATGGAGATAATTGTGGCCTATGAGTCATTTGGGTCTTTCCTCTGTTCCTATTTCATCCTTATTCAAAAATAGCCCATAATTGTTTCATTAGACTGTAAAGGAAACCGTAGCAATTCTCTTTCCGCTTGATTCTTAAATTCCAAAGCACAATGAATGCCTATCCCTATTCTAGTCACTGGAATATCCTCTAGAAATACTACAGGCACAACCAGGAAGATGCACCTTAAACATCTGAGACTCTTCCGTCCTTTCAGGAACACCAAAAAAGAATCAGAACTGGCAGGAGCCTTGCAGAGGCTCAAAGACCTGGAGGCTCTGCTTAACTCAAAGGATGCATCCTTGACTACGGCTCTGGGAGAGAAGCGTAACCTGGAGGTGGAAAACAGGGACCTGAAGGCTCAGGTTGCCAAGGTAAACTCAAACTCACTCAGTGGAAACACATCTGGGCTCAATCCGTCTGTGGGCAGCCTACACAATGACCAGCTCTCTGCTCCATAATCTTCCTGGGTGTTTTTCACTTTTAGACACTAAATGTAAATCAGCGACTCAACTTTACCTTTAACACTAGCTGATAATGTTTGACTTTGTCCAGTGCAGTTTGTGGAAGTAAAATGTACAAAAATCCTGAGATGTTTTAGCCAACCTCAGCAGGCCAACTCTATCTGTCTTGGCTACTTGTGCTCAGAACAAAGGACAGCCTCCCTACTTGCCTGCCCACTTATGGTATTTACTGTGTCTCCACTCTGATGCCTGTTTGTGTGCATTGCTTTGTATTAATATTCAGTTCTTGTTGGGTTTTCCCAGCTGGACACCAGTTTGGGTGATGCCAGGAAGCAGCTGCAGGATGAGATGCTGAGGAGGGTAGACGGAGAAAATCGCATCCAGACCCTCAAAGAGGAGCTGGAGTTTCAGAAGAACCTTCACTCTGAGGTCAGTTTTCATCACCATCTGTAAATCATTTTATAAAGGAACTTTCACAGCATGTCAAAATCTACCCATCATTTCAAAAAGCAGGTAATTGTTGTTGAGACTGACCAGGGTTTTTGGCCAACAGGAGCTGCGGGAGATAAAGCGACGTCATGAGTCTCGTATGGTTGAGCTAGATAATGGCCACCAGCAGGATTTTGAAAGCAAGCTGTCGGAGGCGCTGATGGAGATGCGCAACCAGCACGAGCTGCAAGTTAAAATGTACAAAGAAGAGATTGAGAAGACTTACAATGCCAAGGTAGGTTAATGTTATAAAACTGAACTTGAACAGAACCTGTTTTCTATTGTGGTCATTCAAAACATTATAAGATGAGAATGCTACAAAGTCTTATGACACTTCTGATGTGCAGCAGGTTTGCAGTTTCACAGACTGATGCCAATGAAGTACGAGATTCCACAATGCTATGTTAGGTTACAGTCTATGTTTTATGAATTTTCCACCTTTTGTTTCTCTCTATCAGCTGGAAGGTGCTCGCCAGTCGGCGGACAGGAGCAGCCACCTGGTGGGAGCAGCACATGAGGAGCTCCAGCAGACACGGATCCGCCTGGAGTCCACATCGGCTCAGCTCAGCCAGCTGCAGAAACAGGTGACCTTCAAAAAACAGCGATCACCACTTCAGTTAGATGCTTATTTTAATTCAGCGCTTTTTATCCACTTTTCAGACTGTCTGTTTGGCTAACAATAAACAGAGATTTCACTAATTACTATTATATTTGGCCAAAACATCATTTATATCCTTTTTACATCCAAACCTAATTTTTAAAATGATACTGTACTTTCACAGTGATGACTCTGTGATCAACCCCTCTTGTTAGATTCCTCTGAAGTTGTGTTTTCAGACTAACTCAGCTGATTCAGACCTGACAATAACTCTTCTCTCCGGTCCAGCTGGCGGCCCGTGAGGCGAAGGTGAGGGACCTGGAGGATGCCTTGTCTCGGGAGCGGGACACTACACGTCGCTTGCTGGGAGACAAAGACAGAGAAATGGCAGAGATGAGACAGCGGATGCAGCAACAGCTGGATGAGTATCAGGAGCTCCTGGATGTCAAGCTGGCTCTGGATATGGAGATATGTGCTTACAGGAAGCTGCTGGAGGGAGAGGAGCAGAGGTGTGTTAGGCTCACAGTGACTGTAGTCAGTAAAAAAAGAGTTTGGCAGCAATAGTAATTTCCTTTGTGCTACAGAGCTGTCAGTCATGGCTCTTTCTCTGCTTCACACACTCCTTCAAAATGTCATCATGTCTGTCCCTGCAGGCTGCGTCTGTCCCCCAGCCCTCCACCCACCAGAGCAACAGGAAGTCGTTCCTCTACTTCAGCAGTTCACTCTCAATCAATCCACTGCAACGCTCAGAGCTCTCCAGCCAAGAGGCGCCGCCCCAACGACACGGACAGCGAGGCCTCTAGCTTTGCAGGAGGGTCTGTGGCTCGCACCCGCATCACCCAGCAGGCCTCAGCCAGTGGCCGGGTCACTGTGGACGAGGTGGACCTGGATGGGAAATATGTCAGACTCAGCAATAAAGCAGATGAGGTGATACAATGAATGTAGTTGTCAGATGATGAAGTATTATCTGAGAAATCTATTTGTTTGTGGTGACTTTATCCAATATTACTTGGATGATTTCAGACATTAAAAGCATTTATATCTAACATTAATCTTGCTCCTGCAGGATCAGAATTTGGGGAATTGGCAGGTAAGGCGGCAGGTGGGCTCTGGAGTGCCCATCATCTTCAAGTTCCCGGCTAAATTCACATTGAAGGCTGGTCAGAGGGTCACGGTAAGCTGCACGTTACTCAGCAGAATAGTGGATGAGCACAGTGGTAAACACTGTCACAGATCTCTCACCCCTACATTTGTTTGGTGGTCAGATCTGGGCCTCTGCTGCTGGTGGAACCCACAATCCTCCCTCTGACCTGCTGTGGAAGGCTCAGCCCTCCTGGGGTACCGGAGACCTGTTTCTAACCACTCTGATTAGTGCCAATGGAGAGGTACTTTGATTTGTCAGAAAGATGCTATATATGTCAGAAATTAGGTAAAAAGTCAAAAAAAAAATTTGAGCTGCTTTACAGCTTATCTCAAGGCAAACTTTTTTTGCAGGAAATGGCAATGAGGAAGGTCACTCGCACTCAGTTTGAAGAAGAAGATGATGACATGGTGAGAGATGTTGCAGTAAAACACAGTTACATAGTTTACTAACTCTTGACTGTTAATGGCTTTGGTGACAGTGGAGCCTCTAACCTGAACAAAGTAGAAATGTTAATACAGATGTACTGAGATATTTCCACGAATCCTTATTAAATCTTTATATCCAACGCTGGATCTGTGTCTACGCCTCAGCAGGTGGCTCACAGCACCTGTGGGGACGGTGAATACAACCTGCGGAGCCGGACGGTGGTCTGCGGCTCCTGCGGACTTCCTTCAGATAAATCCACCACCTCCTCTGTCACTTCAGCCTCCCGCTCCTTCCGCAGCGGAGGCATCTCTGAAGGTTTATTGCCGCACTCCTACGTGTTCAGCAGCAGCACTCCTCTCAAGGTGGGTACCGCAACACAATCAGCTGATATCTGACTTCCTTTTAAACTTTTTATGGCCTAAGCTTACAGCAAACAAATTATTGAGCTACTCTTGCAAGCTAAAGTGTGAATGTTTTAACATTTATATTTGATACTAACTGTGTTACATTTTTCTCAGACTGGAGCCAGAATGGAGAGCTGTCCAATCATGTGAACCCTGGGATCCATGTTCTAACACCTGCCAGTACTTATCAGGTTTCAGTTATTATTTGTTTAGTCACAGTTGTAGTTATTAAGCTCAGATAATTTTCATGATGCTGTATGCAGTACAGTTTTATCCTGCTTTTTTATATTGTACATAGGCATGCTTAAGAAATATTTTTTGAATAAAACAGTCACTTGTATTGGTGACATTAAAATTTTCTTCAACCTGGCAGTGAAATATGGAACTACCAGCTATTAACAACCTAAAACAACAATTTTACTTTTTAAATTTTACTTTCACTGCTAAAAAAAGAGTGAGAGAAGTGGTAGGTTTCCACAGCTACTGCAGCTGTGAGATCAATCATGCATACATACATCAGATGTCCATTAAACACCTTTAACATACTGACACAGCAGGGTGATGATAAATTCATTTGTGTTCATTTATTTTAAATAATAAATATAATTTGTCATTCAAACTGCCTCATTTGAAGTAAACTGACTCCATCCTTATTACGGGTTTACAGAATGTTGTGCATCTTTCTGATATGAATAAACAATTTCAAATGAATAAACATGTTTTCAAATATTTGGCTTATTTTTCTTAATACTGAACAGTACTGTGATGATTCGAGAAATGTCTAAGTACATACCATAAAATAGAAATATTGACAGAAATAAAGGGCAAGTTATTGAAATGAATCATCATTTGTCTTTTAAATACCTGGGGTTAAAAAAAATACACATTTGAATATTTTTGAACTGAATATTCATCACCATCTAAGATATCAGTGCAAGAAAAATATTTACCTCAGGTTACTGCATTCATACACCAGCTTAATTTAAAACAAGCAAAATCAGATAGTTTCCATTTTCAGGTATATTGTCACAGTAATAGGTTTGGTGATAATACATTTGTATTCATCAATTTCCAAAGCTGTAAAGTAATATTTACTTCCACGCTGTACTTAAGAGCTATTGTAAGGTATTTGTATTTCCAGTTTATGCCACTTTATACTTTTATTCCACTACACTCCAGAGGAAAATACACTTTACTATATTTATCTGTAATTGTATTGTAGCTACAACATTACAATGCTGCATATGTGTTAATTCAACAATAGCCATATTTTTGAAACACAGTTTTTAATATAAAATTCTGAAATAAGTCATTTCCTAAACGTTTGATATTTTAAGTGTATTTTGCAAAAAATGATTGTACTTTCACTTCTATACACTGGCTATATTTGTGGCCTATTACTTTTGCTAGATGTAAATATGTCTTTCAGTACTTTTCCACACAGACTTTAGTTTCAGAGATCCGACTTTTATTTTGAAATTAGAACAATGTTTATAATTTTCAAACCCGGAAGTCAGCAACGCACTAGGTCGCGTGTGTTGCTTCACGATTGATTTATCAGTGCTTTGTTGACCTGTAGGTAGTTTTACTGAGTTGTTTCAAAAGAGAAACGTGCGTGTGAAGTTGTTTTCAGGAAATATTTGCAAAAATTTGGTGAGCGTTATTAACATTTTGTCACATATTCAATCCGCAGCGCATATCTAAGTTGTAGCTAGTTTAGCTACTAAGCTAAATTATTAGCTAGTAGTAGCTAGTTTAGCTATTAAGCTAAATTATTAGCTAGTAGTAGCTAGTTTAGTCTAGCGTACCATTTCTGTGGTTGAACTATGCTGTTTATAAACTGTAACACAATAAATCGTAACAATAACTAGCCTAACTAGTCGTCATGTTCGTTAGAGCAATGTACTAGGTAGTTGCCCTCTGCTATAGTTATATAAAGCTGAAACTGGACAAAGATCATAAACTAATATATCAGAATGGCGTGTATCAGGTATCACAAATGTGCACAGACACTTAATAACCACTCAAACTTGCTGTCATTAGTTGAATAGAATAGTGTTCACTGAACTGTAACATCCCATTGTGTTCCCATTTTAGTTTGTATTTTATTTTTATGTAAAACTTAAACAACAGAATTGTAATTGTTTTGTCTTTATCTCTGCAGAAATTAGTAGTCAAATAATTGATTTTATTAAGTGACAGAAATCATTTTGAAAAAATATTTGGTCTCTTATTAAGTAGAAATGCTGTATTTGCTGCTCCATCTTCTCCTGTAGTTTATACTAAAGCTCTTAACATTAAAAAATATGAAAATGTTAGTTGATAATAAAAATGATAGTTAATCGATACTTTGTAGTATCATTGAAGTCTAGTTTGATTCTTTATGATTATGTTTGATGTAACACATCATTGCAGACATGGACAGACAAGTCATTTCAAAATACAGCTTACTCTGAAAATGGTTAAGTACAGATCATTTTGCAATCTAATGATGTTGTTATACACCCTGTTAAAGAATGTTTAATGTTTTGTTCATTGTTCTGTTCTGTTCTGCATGTTTGAAAGAATAAATCAATCAATCAATCAATCAAAATGCACTGAGAAGCAGTAAAGTCCTCCCCAGACACGGTATATTCCACAACCTCTGGGTTTTCAGAGGGAGCAGAGAAAAATATAAGCAAGAAAAAGAAAGCAGTGTAACAGCAGCATCAGCAGACTGAGCATCAACACTGGAGCTGCTGTACCTGCCAGAGCTTTCAGGCTTTGCTTCATGTTTAGGTTTATTGATTTGGTGGAGGCTCTACAATTATACTTAATTCACCAAATTATGGGATGGATTGGGGGCTAACGTCCATCAGCTCTGTTTAGATCACTGTGATCTTTTGTGTACACGCAGTTTGGGTCCACCTGGATGTTGAGTGTTCGGACTCTGTTCGGGATCGGCTTCCTGGTGACCCAGCAATCCTTGCTCGGTCAGGGACATGTCCGCTGGCCACTGCAGCTAACATCCACAAGACAGACTGTTTTAATAGCAGACCTGCATCCACCATGGCACAGACCATCAAATATCTCGGGTAAAATGTTTTTTTTTGTCTTGTACACAGAGCAGTAAAAACATGTTCTGATTGTGTGTCTCCAAATTGAGCTGTAGCTGCTCCACAGGCAGGAGGAGGCCCAGCACATTGATGAGGAGCTCTTCAGTGAGTATGGCTTCAGCGTGGACCAGCTGATGGAGCTGGCTGGACTCAGTTGTGCCACAGCCATCACTCGGGTGAGGCGTCAACCAAGGTTCTGTTTAATGTAGAGTTGCAGCTATTCATGAATTAATCAGCAATATTTTGAAGATTTAATAATTGTTTGAGAATTTTTTTATGACAACATACCAAGTTTTCTGGTTCAGGCTTCTCTGATGTGATGATTTGATGCTTTATTTTGTCATAAATTAAAATAAACAGAATATTTTGGGGGTTTGGACTGTTAACAGGAAATCAGGTTTTGCATTTACAGCACATGGATATGTCTAAATCAGATTACAGCCTGAAAGAGGCAGTAATCTGATTACTTTGTTCTCCTGAATAGCTACTGTAAAGAAAGTTGTCTGGTCAAATCCCTGTAGTGTTGCACTGATGCACATTCATGTGTTTTCTGTAGGCATATCCCATCACTTCCCTGGTCAAGGGCAGACCTTCTCTCCTGGTGATTTGTGGACCAGGGAACAACGGAGGCGATGGCCTGGTCTGTGCCAGACATCTTAAACTCTTTGTGAGTGTCCTACACTAGTGTGACAGTAAGATACTCTACTTTGACGCTATAATCTCACTAAGTGTATGTCCTCAAGTACTGTACTTACACACACTTTAAAGGTTCTTGTAAAGTAGTTCTGTTGTATAGTTTTAAACTTCACTCTGCTACATTTCAGAAGAAAACATTTAACAGCTTTAGTTACTAGTTGTTTAGCATATTTTGCAGATGCTTTTTCATACAAAACATTCATACATGATGAGCTTCTAAAACTTTTTATATTCAGTGAAACAAAAACTCCATGTTGTCAAGTCATTTCACTCTGGAGCTGTGCCCTTAAAGTTCAGATACACTGTGTGTGAATCCAGGCCTAACAGTTTCATTCAAGTCCCAGACATGCAAAAAGCCAGATTTTCCAACTGCCACCAATGTTTTTGCACTTCTTTCACCCAGAACACCTGAATATATTTTAGATTTTTGTTAACTATAAAAGCGTGTATGAGCAGAGAGGCGTACAAACCTGACCCAGTTTCACCATTAGGATGTTTTCTGCTACTTTGCGTGTCCTCTTGCAGGGCTACGAGCCCACCATCCTGTACCCGAAGAGGCCCAACAAACCTCTGTTCCAGGGCCTGACCACACAGTGCCAGAAAATGGAGATTCCCTTCCTAACTGAGATGCCTGAGGTTTGGTATTATTCAATAATGCAGCACCAGTGAAGAAAATTCTTCTCCATATTATGTTTGTGTATTTTATTTCAAGCTGTACAAGCTCTGAATGACACATTATGAGCTCTTGCTAAATGAGGTGTCAGTTTAGATTAGATGAAGCCTTAATGACCTTGTGGGGAAAACAGTGAAGGGTTTTTATCGCAACAGATTGCACAGTCATAATCATTCAACATACAACTGGTAACTACTGATGCAGTCTGGGTTAGCGGCTTCTTGGATGTCAGATGTTTTCAGTTTACAGCTACAGCACATTTTCAGGGTTTTTACATTTGTACTTTGTGACAGTAAAAAGACTGATGTTTATTGGTTTTTGAGTCTATATTTAAAAAAATAATCCAAATGATTTATTTTGCTGGATAAAATCATCTTCACAGGCTGAAGTGATTGAGGAAGCTTACAACCTGGTGATAGATGCCATCTTCGGCTTTAGCTTCAAGGGGGCCGTGCGAGAGCCTTTCGATTCCATCCTAGATGTGCTGAAGAAGACCACAGTCCCCATAGCCAGCGTCGACATCCCCTCAGGTCAGTCCTCACACATGCAGCACTTTACACTGAGAAGAATATTTATTTCCACAAAAAAAGTACTTCCTACCCTATTGGTAAAATTTATTCTTGTGAAAAATGGCTGCTCAGCAGCTTCTTCCATGCCATAATGATGTTCCGGTAACCGATTGGCTGACAGAGAAGAGAAATTCAGAGTTTGATTTTCTGAAATGAATAATGTTTCATTGTTTATGGATGTGCAGCTTTGCATGTGGGCCATTCTTATTGAAATGTATGTCAAATACTTCTAGATAAAATGGTCAAAATATGGTGGTAAAAATATAAATAAACTACCTCAAAAGTAGAGATACATCATTTTATTTTGGAGCCACTTTACAGCCAATTAGGTGGAGCTGACGGAAAATTAGATATGATGGCCTACATTAAATATTTGTTTGATTAAAATATTTTTAAAATCAACTTTTACTATACATATGTTTTGTTTTACTTTTTTAAAGGTTGGGATGTGGAGCAGGGCAGTGCAGATGGACTCCAGCCTGACATGCTCATTTCACTCACTGCTCCAAAGAAATCAGCCTTGTTGTTCAGAGGACGGTACCACTTCCTAGGAGGCCGCTTTGTGCCGCCTGGCCTAGAGAGGAAGTACCAGCTCAACCTGCCTCAGTATCCTGGCACAGACTGTGTGTTACAGCTGTAGGGAATGTAGGCGTCAGTGAGTCTGGGAAGATTGTGGTCTTTAAAGGAATAGTTCAACATTTTGGAATGTCAGAATTTTCTGAGGTAAGTGAGAAAATTAGTAGCACTTTAATTTTCATCTGTTGAGCATGGAGCTTCAGCTGAGCGCCCAGTCTTCATAGCTTAGTTTAGGACTGGACACGGGGAGCTGCTAGCCTCACTGTCTCCAAAATTTAAAAATACAGGTACCTGCACCTCTGAAGCTCCCTAATGAGAATGTGTCATTAGTAGCATCTGTACACAAACATAGATTTAAAAACTAGTTATGGCTTTTCAGGGGAGTTATGTGTTATAACTGTTGTTGAAAACCGTTCAAGTCCCTTGGCTTTCCAAAGTCTTGTCATCACATGAGGCCACCAGGTATTATCATTCATTTTGTCACTGACTGTATGTGGCAGCTGGCGCTAAAGTTGGAGACAATGCACAGAAATACTGTAAGGATGGATGAACTGTTTTACATTGAGAAATAATTACAGCCTGTAACACCCTCTAAAACCACACATTCATCTTGTTTTCTCTCTGTAAATGTAATAAAGATTAGAAGCAAGGGAAATGGCTAGCTAGTATCTCTGTGCTGGTTATCTTGAAGCTAAGCGAACAACGTAGCATATCTAGTGTGTTCATATCTAGTGTCTCAGTCTTCTCGTCTAGCCTGGAACAAAATCAATCAAGTGTATTTCCCCAAATGCTGAGCTATTCCTTTAAATCTGGGACTTTGATTGGTTCAGATTGAGTGGATGGTTAAGGCTATGCTGTAACTCTAATAACCTGTTATAACAGAGCTTTATTAGCTCTCTGGAAGAGTTTTATTCATATGAAAGCACATGGTGGTTGCCACAGTTGCATGATAAAAACATAAATGATTAAAAATGACTATGAATTGTTATTTCTGTAACAACAGCTACCCCTTTAAACTTTCAAATATTAATCTGACAAACCAGCAGATTTGTGTGGTGATGTGCCTTATTACTATCAACAGAAGACTTTTCCATCACATGTATTTTCTCAGTTTTTATTAATACATCTTAAGATTTTGTTGAATGTACATATAGCAACTGGAACTAAAGTCTATCAGAGTCCATGACATTCAGTTGTATACATACCTTTACCATACATGTTGTCTCATATTTTCACATTAGGTGGTGATGATTTAGTAAAAAGCTTCCTTTTACAATCAACCAGTACCACATACAATTTATATAACTGTATATAACTACATATACTTAAAGAAATACTGTATGTACAGTTTCTGCTTTTGACTATGTAGCTCATTAATGCATAATGGGTTCTCATATAAGTGCAAGACATGCTTTTGTGCACAGAATACTATATACAATGCTGGTACCATGCTCTCTTTGTACGTCACATCCACTTGTGATCATTGTCAAGGACAGGCTAAACTGGAGACTTGAGAGGAAGAGTTGGGCGAGTTGTTCCCCCAAGTTGTCGTCATGCAGGTCAGAGGACGGAAGGATGGTTTCAGCCCATGGAGGAAGCCTTAAGATAAACACAGCACATATTAATGGATTTACTGGCACAGACTCAAAACTGCTGTTTACAGAAAATGCTGTTCCTTAATAAAGCTCAAGAAGCTCTAATACAGTTGCCAGTTTATTAGGTACAACAAGGTAAATCAAAAGCGGTTTAATACATAGTAAATCCTTGTGATGTGTTACAACATCCAGCTTTTGTTGAAACTGTTTCAGAGGGGTTGTAATTTGTGCTGCCATTCAGCTGTATTTACATTACACTGTCAGTGTCAGGAATTTCCATTGTTTAGCCTACCCTCTGATGTAAATAGGGTAGACGAATTTTTTTTTTCTTCATAAAACAGTCAAAAAAAAACTTTTGTGAGAGTAGGATTTATTGCAGAGCTGTTTTAGTGTCACTGCTATAGCGTTTTAGCTGCTGGATGTGAACCTAATCAACTGGCAAATGAGCATATGACGGGTTCTGTAAATGTGCTAGATTAAGGGTTGGTTTAGGGCTGGGTAATAGTTTTTTATATAATGATTTATATACGAGTTTTGCTACTGATGCTGTTTTGGATGCCTTCAGTCTAACTGTCATTTAACAGTAAAATCTGTATATTTGCCCTTTTAAAGCTCCCCATGTCATACCAATGACACTCTGTGGTTTTATGGAGGGTTATGTGTCTGGCTCTCAACAAATAGGCATATTTACAAAAACATTTCTTTAATATGTCACTTAAGAACACACGGGAGCTGCATGGACACAGTTTGTTTCTGACCAACAACACCCAGTCATAGTCAACAAAGGAACTGAACACAAAAAGGACATTTAATTTTTTTAGTGTTTCTGATAGTCACAAACTCATTGTAGAATGATGCGAGGACATACTGTACCTGTGCTATTCTCCGACCTGCACCCCTGCACAGTTATCTTTACTTTCTGAGGTTATCGCTAAATATTCAGCATTTCTGAAAGGAAAATAGAAAAACTCTTAGTGGGTATCAGAAATAACTGATGTTTTCTTTTAAAACACTGACATCTGTTGAAAAATGCAAAACTGATCATAGGTGTGGTTGTTTGACAGGCATTTGCTCTGTTTTGACTTGCAGGAGGGAGGTTTTGGTTTGGAGTAGGGAGGAGGATGACAGGATGAAAACATGACAAATAGAAGCTGGAGCGTGAGATGTTAGACAAAGAGACGCGTGAAAACGAACGCAGTGGGAACTGACAATCTTGAAATTAAATGAACAATGGAACAGGAGGAGAGAAGTGTGAGCACAGATGCGATGGTTTTAGCTTGATGGCTCGCTTAATTTTTCTAAATGTCTAATGTCATTGAAATGTGTAAATTAAGCAGAGAGAGAAATTTCTCAGTCTACTAAATCAATAAGTCATACTTACTATATCAACACACACCTGGAGATACAATGTTTTCACATGGCACGAGCCTATGTGCTCAAACAAGTGATAACAGTACTTACGCAGCTTCGCGTAATGCTTCTTCCCCAGCTGCTGCGATCTTTCTGTAGCAGTATATCATTTCGATGAGCAGCCAGAGCTGCAGGCCGATGATGGAAACGTACATCATGATCTCTGACACGATGGAAGCTGTGCCTCTGCTGGCTACACAGAAGGAGGAGGAAAGTCAGGTAATCAGAAAAACACCAAAGACGCAACTGACAAGTGAGCAGAAACTGGGCAGAATTTACTCTTGGAAATGAAACATGATTGGCTGCTTCTCAGTGTGTATGGGTACAGTAAACCTGAAGACAGTCTGTCTTTTTGTTTTCAGAACATTGTCTGGTCATAGATGCCGTTACATGCAGACATTTCTTCCTGATCTTCTGCTGTTCTAGAGTTCCCTGTGGGATATTGTGCAACTGTTGTGTGAATCATACTCATCTGAAACAACTTGAATCTAATCCAGAATACAATTATGTCTCAAAATCTGTCACTTTTGATGTCATCTTAAAACAACTAATGGTTGTGCGCAACACTTAGCCTTACATTTAGCTATATCTGCCAGCCAGCAGTTCTTTCTAGAATATTTAAAGTAATACAATGAAAATTATACTGCACAAGCTACCTTAGGCCAAGACCTGTTTTTAAATAATAGCTCATTTCCACTTATTTTTCAATTATTGCATCTTTTATTATCCTGCTACCAATGGACTGAATAGTTGCAGAGCGTTTGATGTCATTGTACCTTTAGCCACCACGGAGAGGTGGACCACCTTTCTGATGTTGCTGTTGTACTCGTGGTTGGTAAAGAACAGCACGCGGTTGAAGAAACACTGGTAGGTGCCAGAGTCGTTGAAAGTGACGTTGAGAAGGTATATGGATGCATCTTGTATGTCATTGCTCCTTTTAGTCCCGTTCCAATCCACACGGTCCAGAAACTGCTCGCTTTCAATGGTGGGGCCGTACTCATTATAGGTGTAGATCTGGGGCCACAGAAAGGTCAAGGTTATTCTAAAAGGTAACTAGTAAATCTAGTTATAAAATTAATGTGAGTAAAAATGTACAATGTCTGCTTCTAAAGTGCAGTGAAGTTGGTGTATGTAGTGGCAGAAAATGAAAATAAGTACAGATACCTCAAATTTATACTTGGGTAGAGTACCTAAGTAAATGTACTTTGTTACTTTCTGCCACTGTGCGTGTGTGTGCGCGTGCACTGTGCCCATGTATATAGTGTGTGTCTTGATGAATGTAGCTTAGGACAGGTTTTTAATAGCTTGCATGACAAAGTTCCCTGACGATACATCAAACCTTTCCTGTACTTTGAGGTGTGCTGCCTCAGCTACACTATGTGCTGGCATCAGACTGAAAACATACGTTAGTAATGGTGAACTGGCTGAACTGGCACTCACAGGAACAAAGTCTGCCTCGCCTTTGGCTCTGAATTGCCACTCGATAGTGGCGACACCTTCCACCTCACTCCTCTTCTTGCAGGAGAGGCAGCCCAGTTTGAAGCCTTGGCCTGCCACAGCCTCTGTGTCAGAGTCCACCTCCACACAGGCCCCATGACACCGGTACACTGTTCACAAACAAGGGAGACAGACAACCATTACTCTGGGCTGACACAATGCAGTGACAAAATATGAAGACTACAACAATGAATCCGCTCAACTCACCAAACAGGGTGCAGAGCAGAGAAAGGAGCACTAGGTGGAACGCTGCCATGTCACTGGATGTCAGAGTAACGGCTTTATTTTGCACAGAGGTGCAAAAACTAAAACTTTAACACTAGTGTTTCCAAAGGATTGTTGTTGAAGATTTAAATTACATTTACAACACTCGTAAACTGAGCACCTTCACACCTGTGCTGACTGGATATTTTTTATATTTTAAGAAAACTGGAGCTTATCTGCAAATGTTAAAAGCTGTGTGTCAGGCAAATATATGTATGTACCTGGCAGCTAATCATGCATTGTAATGTGCAAAATATATGTCTACAGGCCTCCTTTACACACCTCAGGTTGTTTATGACAGACCTATGAAACTACTGTTAGTGGCTCAGTTCTTTGGCTCAACCCAGCAACAGTTTCCAGTTGGTCACAGAATTTATTGTCAGAGTTATTGCTACTTTTAAGACAGCCCCCCCTTCAGTGTATCTCTATTGGACTAATGCCTTCAAGTATTGGGCTTTCTGTGTTTAATTATCAAGTAGCAAATATCTGGTGACTCACAGTGCTCCCCAGATGAACACCCTGAGATCTGATTATCTTTTTCCCTGAGGTCCTAATGTGAGATGCACAGAGCAATCATTAGACCTTCCTGGGGCCACATGCTCAGCAAATTACAGACAATACAGGTACACTAATTTGGAAAACATATGTGCTTATATAATGTGCAACATGCCAGCTACTGACTGAACGTGTACAATATTCTTACATGCAAGTGCATATATAGGCTAATTAATTTGCATGCTCTATGATCAGAATCAAATGGCTACAAGCTTCACGCTACCAATATTTAACACAGACCAATCAAATGGTCTAAATATAATTATGCTTAGTCGGATCACTGCAAGCAGAGCCTACTGTCCTGAATTTAGAGGCCTCTTCTGAAGCGGAGTCGTCTCTTCGGGAAAAAAAAATATACACTCCTCTCGTGCGATGACATCTGCTGTGGAAAGACTTGTAATTTTACCTATCTAATGACCCTGCGCTCGTAGAAGAGATACTTCGGTCGTGCAGGCATTGCAGATAAAACTGCGTGAGCGCACACGTCTACATAAAAGCCAGACAAGAAATACAATAAAACAAACACGTCCTGTGCTCAGTTAACGGTGTTTTTGACTACGCCACAGCGGCACCTCTGTCGCCCGGTTCAGAGGATGCTGCAGATGCACTGCGGTAAAACGAATGTGCGTGTGTGACAAAGCAGCTGCTGCGTGGCGACTGTTAAAAAGGATGCCCCGTTGTTTACAAAGGGATAGTAGCCCCGCTTTGTGTAAAATCCATTGCTGGGGGTTCGCCTAGCGTTCATAGCACATTTAATGAAAAACAAAGGGCTTTAACAGGTCTGCTAAAGCGACGCGCTGATATTAGTCTGAGCTGGCCCTTTAACTGAATTCAAGCGCAAAGCCATGATGTTACACACTCTGGGCACTAGGTGGCGGTGTGCACATTTCACCTGTAACCCGGCAATACAACTGAAGAAGAAGAAGCAGCAGAAGAGGAAAAAATAATAATAAGAGGAAGAACAACAGCAGCAAAGATAATAATAATAACAACAATAATAAGAAGACTACTACTACTACTACTACTACTACTACTACTACTACTACTACTACTGACGATCCAATGGTGGCATCTTACTGTAAACACAAGTTAACGCTGTACCAGTCAGTAATCCTAATAGCTGTCCGTACAATTATGGATCCAGTTTTGACCACACCGGTTAGACACTTTTGTAGCTAAATGCGCGTGTTAATAGTGTAAATGTGATGATATTCCGTCATTTTGATTCATTTTAATTCAGCTTTCACACCAAACACCCACTCGCGTCATGTGTGAGGATGCTGTTTTGTCAACCAGACAGCATAAACTAAAATGACGCCTCCGGCTTTACTAACTTGATATTTTTGTACACGCAAAGCAAACAAGCGACTGTACTATGTATTTGGAGCTCACGAATAATATTGATGTGCTGCAAATAGTAAAACGCTCAACATACCTACATATCAAAGGTAAGATGCTAACTTTAACATTAATCGCTAGCTAGCTAACCTACAAGATAGCTAACCCAGGGATTGGATTAAACGAACGAATGCAGGCTAGCAAGAACCAAAACAACTGTGCAACACTTCCACCATAACGTGTGTTTATGAATCTCAAAATGTTTCAGTTTTGGCGAAAATGTCACAAATGTTTAAATTAAATTATATGTTTATTATTGATATAATATTTAGAGGTGTCTGTATTTTTGTCCTCCCCGGCTACATATATGAGAGGGTCAGAATAAAGTGGCCGGTGAGTATATATCGACAGTCTCTACTATACTAGGCTAATATAGGGGAAGATGCCCCATTGTCTGTTTACTGTGCATAAACAACCCCAGTTTGGTATTACAATCTTGAAGTATAATATGCAGTTTAATAAATTTAAAAGAAATTGCGTAAAAGGGCATCTTCCCCCACTACTGGGGCAGGATGTTTTGGTAGTATTTAATAAGCATTTTGATGATAACACCTTGGGCTATAACATTTTTAGACTAAACAATCAATAAGAAAATCGGTGTTAGATCCATCCCAACGTGACTACCAATGTGACTTTGATAGTAGACTTGCACTAACTATTGTTTTTATTGTGAACTAATCTCAAGTATTAAGTAATCTAGTGTTTGGTTTCTAAAATGTCATAGTAATAGTGAAAAATGCAGTATAACTGAAAATACATTTAAATTAAATCACGCAAGCAAACTGAAGTGTCTCAGGAGCAAAAGGAAGTACATGAACAAATCCAGAGAATAGACCTTAAAAGCCTAGAGTGTTATATACATGATCCACTATATTACAAGATGAACCATTCAGAAACAACAAAAGCAACTAAAACCTGTACACACAATTAGAAATAGTTTATTGTAGGACAGAAATAAATGATGGCTTAATTTTGCACTGTGTAATATTTTCAGACTTTCGGTAGACAATGGATCCGACCTGCAGCGTTTCTGCGGTTCCAGCTGGCTTGACAGTCCAGGTGTGTTTCCCTGGTGCCCGTGCTGCCGTGTTGGACAACCTAAACCGCCAGCGGGAACAGGGAAGGCTGTGCGACCTCTCCATCCAGGTGCAAGGGCAAGTTTTCAGGGCCCATCGTTGTGTGCTTGCTGCATCCTCACCTTACTTTCATGACCAGGTAGGTACATTAGTGTAGTATAGAGTACACACAGGCTCATTAAACAATGCTTAATCCTGTGCAGATGCTCAGAACCTTGTCTTTGTGCCTATGTCTCAACAGGTGTTACTAAAGAATGTTACAACAGTTTCCCTACCCTCAGTCATGGACCCAGTGGCCTTTGAGAGCGTCCTGAGTTCTGCCTACACAGGTCAGCTGAGCATTGTGCATGACGACATTGTCAATTACATCACCGTGGCCAGCTTTCTTCAGATGTGGCACATTGTGGACAAATGCACTGAGATTTTGAAGAGGCCCCGGCCCTCAGTAGATGTCATTCACGAAGAGGTCACTGTGGCTCACCCAGGCACCGTGTCTCGACAGCAGTCACCAAGCAGCACCGACTGCCTGTATTTGGAAAGGGAGGGAAGGAGGAGGGAGAGGAAGCCTGATGCTTTGCCTCCCTTAGCTACATGGAGACGCCCACAGCAATTTCCTCGATGGGGCCGGTCACGCCCCTCCTCAGGTCAGCACTCAGCAGATTCTCAACTGGACGCTGTCCCTGGCTATACAGAGAATGACTACACCAGCTGTGAGGAGGCATGGATAACAAGCCACGCTAAAACGAGCCACTTTGCGCATGATGGACCTGGCCACAATGGCCGACACCACGGGGCGTTCCCCGGTGGTGAGGCCTTAAAACAGAAAGTGAGGTTGCAGCAGCGGGGCGCACCGCCAAGTGCTGATAGGCTGCTTGATAAAAACAGAGAGAGCGGGGACAGTGATGAGACACAAGGGAGGAGGAAGAATGAGAAAAGAGAGATTGAAGCAGATGAAGGAGTAGGAGAAGAGGAGGTGGAGATGAAGGAAGTCTTACCACAAATGGGACATTGTGGTAAGACACAAAAGCCTCATTTGACATTAAACACAATGTCTTTGTCTATCTAACTAGTGTGAACACATCTTTATTTAACTTTACTAGAGGCACTCACAGTAGTGTTAATGCATGTTTAGTCATAATTCAGTGCTAAAAATATGTTATTCTTAATTTCACAGTTGTGAATTTAATCCTAAATCTGGATTTCAGATACTTCAGTATTAGTGTGACCCCATACTTGATTTTTCTCCTCAGATTTTCTTTTTCACACACTACGTTGTAAAACACAAGGCCACCTGCACCACTCTCATTATTATTATGCATAATATAAGAAACAAATTCTATTTCTTGTACTGCACATGGTCTGTCAGTAGCAGATTACAGCCAAATACAAATCTGCTTTAATAATCAGTTTCAGCACAGTCAGGACAGAAACCAATTCACCTGCACTGTTTGTGTTCACATCAGCCTGACATCTGCAGACGACTGCTAGCTAGCGCTGACTCCTGAGGTACAGGCTGAATAAAGTAGAATCCACACAGTGCTCACTCGACCTTTGTAGCTTCACATCTCGTCATCAGAGAATGATTTGTGCAGACATTTATTGAGGAAACGGTGCAGATGCAATGGTTGAATAAATATTGGTTTATATAAACATTGGGATTAATGGGAATAAGAGTTTTTAAAAAAAATCCAGCTCGAGTAGCTCTCTGCTGCATGTGATATTGTTTGTCATTTGTCCAACAGCCTTCCACCCAGTTTCAGATCAGAACGAGGAAGCCAAACAAGCCACAGGGAAGACCCGTGGGGAGGAGATAAAAGAAAAAGTGCAGAGAGATATTTCAGGAAGTGATCACTGCTCAGACCTGCTCCATGCTTGCCAAACACGTGAAGGAGTTCCGGGCCCATCCTGTCCGGTTTCAGCCCGGCAGCAGTGGCAGGCAAGTCCCTGGTCTCAGCAAGACTCAAGGCCACATGAAGGAGCGGGTGGCAGCTGCAGTAAAGATGAGGAGGAAGAGGATGTGGACTTTGAATGTTTCACAGAAGGGGTTTTTAACAGAGAGACATACAGTGAGATTGAAGATGGTACAGGGCAAGTGTCCCAGAGGCCTTTAGTGTCTGTGTCTCCTGACTTCACCATGGCGAGCTCAGAGGTAAACTGGCCCTCCACCAGCGTGGGACAGGGTGCCTCACTGACCCCCACCTCTAGTAGCCATTTTTCCTCATCCTCTGCTGCTTTCCCACCACCCTCTTCACCCCCAACCCCATCTTCATCATCCTCCGTGTCCCTGGCTGGCACCCCCTACACGGGAAAAGTCCACTTCTGCCACTGCGGCAAGGCCTACACCCTGAAGAGTATGCGTGACCGTCACGTGAAGATGCAGCACCTCAATCTACGGCCTTTTGGCTGTCCTGTTTGCCCAAAGTCCTTCAAGATGAAGCACCATTTAACCAAGCACCTTAAAACCCATGGAGGGCTGCGGCCCTATGAGTGTGGCATCTGTGGGAAGAAAGTCATCTGGAGAGACAGTTTCCTCAGGCATCAGGCTCGATGTGAGAGACTTGCCTCCAGCTCCTCAACTAACAGCAACAGTACCAGCACAGGATTGGATGACAGCTACAGTTATGGATTCGACGAAGGAGAGACCTTTCTCACAACCGGAGGACAGGTGAAAATGGAGAAGGTGGATCTTCATGAGGAGATGGAGGACAGTGTGTCTGGGATTGTGGATGAGCTAAGAACTCACTCACAAAGTTCAGACCCTGGCCATCATGTTTTTAAAGAGGAGGCGAGTGAGAGTTTTAGTGGAAATTAAATGTTAATGTGAAACATGTTTATAGCACTTAGACTATGTACATAGATTCATACAAGGACCATGGACTACTGATAACAGCGATTACTTTGAAAGTCTATGGTGACAAATCATTGAAGGCTTATTTGAGCAACTGCTTTTCCTTGATCCTTTTTAGGTATGTATTTTTGTGTCGTGTATTTTGTAAAAAGAACATTCACATGCTTTATTCCAGTGATGTTTTTTATTTATTTATTTAAAATTTGTGCAGTGTCATGTAGGCTTAACTCTTGTCTGGTGATGCTGTAAACTGTACGTACACAACAAGCAACAAGCAGTGCTATGAATGTACATCTGGAGCACAGATAAAGTTAATTTACATTTTGCGCATCAACTATTCGTCTATTAGAAAATAAACAAAAAGGTATAAAAATGTTTTCTCTGCAGTACTGTTGTGTCCTGTATGTACGGGAGAGAAAGCTTGGTCTTTACAGTAATAAACCGTTTGGACTTTTGATTGATCAAGACATTTTCTAGTTTATTCTAGAACATTCATTCATTCAAGAACCCCAGCACTCATTTTAGTGCCCCTTCTGGTGTTTTTAACTTATTAAAAACACCAGAAGGGGCCAGTGGACTTGTGGTTTCATTTCTGGGGAGCTGTCAGGTCGTCCATCTTTACATACAGTCTGTGGTCACCCTGCACCACTTCAACAAATGTTATGACATGGAGTCGATTCTAAAACATCAAGTTCTTTGAGACTGCTGACCTGAGCGCTTTTAGAGCAGTTCTTTTGCAGCACAGCGGTGGAGCACAAGAGGTCTCTGTTTCTCAACTCTGCAGCACCGCTGTCCAGTAAATTTGCAAGAAGTCTTCATTGTGTTTAAAGAAGCATAATCCATTAACAGCTGTTTTAAAACGAACAACTCTACATAGAGGATCAACAAGGAAAACTGTACATCACCTTGTTGGTATTAACAGTTTTTCTCCATCACAGTAAACAGATATGAGTTAAGCAAATGCTTGAATTATGTTGAAATGATGTATTTTGGATTAAGCACTGGAGCTTGTATCTCATTAGAGAAGATTTGAATTAATTTCCGGGGGCTACATTCTCATGCCAGGCATCTGTATGGCCAGAATCAGTGTAAAGACAACCCGTAGTGAAAAGCTCTGTGTGTTTTTAGCCTTTTATGTGAATACTCGTGTGTTAAGCACAAGAAAGCTGCCATACACCTCCTTTTGTGCGATGTGGATTATGGGCCACTGACCCAGTTACGGCAGGAGAGATGAAGCTCTGTCCTAATTGTGATTTTAGGGGCAAATGTCCTTAAAAAGCTTTACCTCAGCATTATTTCTCATCATGAGCAACATGTTTTTTCCCACCTCTGAGTACTGACAGGAGTCTAATGAGGGTGACTCATCCTTGTTTAATGTTCAGTTGAATGTGGGACAAAATTAATGGCTGCATGTAGCTGAAATTTTGTTTTTGGAGAACACTATGAGATTAGGATTATTATCTCAGGTAGATGACTGGCCTCTAGAGGATATTTATAGTCTTTTCACGGATCATGGCTTGATTTGGAGCTAAAGCAATACTTAAGTAATTTGGCAGTTCAATTAACCTTTAAGCTGGCTAATACATGAGGGTGCATTGTCCATTATTATGATGATTACAAACATCAGGGTGTAATTTATAGAGTTTATTTGTAACATCTGCTAAAAAAAAAACATGTTGCATTCCCATTTCTTTATTTCTACACAGACGTGACAATGCTACCACAAATGGTCTTCAGGATGACTCAGCTCATCACCTCAGGAAGACCACTTTCAAACATGATTCAAATGTCATGGCCACGCTGAATCAAAGACAGATTGGAAGCCAGACAACAAGGGTACAGTATGTGTATTTTCTTGGCTTACTGTGCAGATTGTTTCCAAGCTCCTGCATAAAATCTATGGCTATGCATCCTGGTGACTTTTACCTGACCTAGAATGCTTTGATCAAATGTCAGGAGTGTAATATTTTTCTAATATTAATTAAGATTTTAAATGTTTTAGTAGCTACATTTGAATCTAAGAAAAATATTCTGGACGAAAGAGGAGTAATCAATGCACTTTTTATGTCTTGTAATTTTAGGACATTTGCTGCAGGTCTTACTGCAAGTTAGCCGCATCACATCTGTAGGTACTTATGTTCTGTATGTAGCTGCATCCATGTGGCAGTTAGCCTAGCTTAGCATAAAGACTGGAAACAGGCTAGGATGGCTCTAGTTCAGGCTGTAAAATAGAGAGTATCAATTTTTACAAGTAGGATTTTTAAATAAAGTGTTAATTAGTCAGTTTAATGGTGATGGAGTATTTTACATTTGGACAGTGACAGGTTAGCTGTTTTCAGCGTTTCCAGAATTTATGCTAAGATAAGCTAACCTGCTCCTGGCTCTAGTTTGGCACAACCCCTGTAAAATGCCAAATTGTTGTTTTTACATTTTGGTTTATGTACAGGTTAAACAGTATACAGTATAATGTGTTAATCAGTGAGCTTTAGAGCTTTAGACAGACAAGCTAGCTGTTCGCCCCCATTTCCAGTCTCCAGCCACATATATTGTATTAGTGGTGTCCATCTTCATGCAAGAATGCAAATAAGTGTAATTTCCAAAATGTGAAACTATTTCTTTAATGCTAAATGAAAGTGGTGATTTGTACAGGTCAATCACATTGTTACCTAAAAACCTCAAAAAACACAAAAATATAAATATAGACAAGACAATTGTCAGATTTTCAAACATTTAATAACTTAACTAAGAGATGACCAAAGATGTTTATTTCCAGTTAGGCTGAACATTAAAAACAGTTTTACATTAAGAGGAAACACAACACTCAGTTTCAGTTCTTATTCGTGTAGCACCAACATGTGTCTGCAACCTTTACAGTGCTTTTCACTACTGAGTTAAAGTGAACATAAGATGAGAATAGCAATGTAATTTATTATGAGCAAAATAAATGTAACAATTATGCATCAGAAGATTTGAAATCAAAATACTGTCCTACAGTACTGAACTCCTCATTTTTCTGCTTCCACATTCAACCACTTGGCTACTTACGATCTAACCATCAATTAAAACAAACCTTTCGTCTATCATCTTATGAATAAAAGTCAACATTAAAATGTCCAGTTTAATTTAAGAAGCAAACAACCAACAATAAATCAGAGAGAGACACAAAAGCTACTATTGGAAAGACAGCAGACAGGTTGTATTTTGGAAAGGTTTCCGTTATAACAGTGCATTTAAAAAGGGCATTTTATACATCTCCTTCGATAGACTTGAACAGAATCCTATTGTACATGTTTATTAATTACACTGAGGGATAAAAACAAAACCGTTATATAAAAACTACATTAGATTTTCCAGTTGTATCCTCACAAGCATTTCTCTGTGACATGAGTTTCACTGAAGCACAAACAAAACCACTCTCCATCTCGATTCCACATATAACAAAGCCAATCTTGTTTTGGGTGTGTGAGTCGTGTTTCTAGAAAGCAGGCGGATACACAAAGCATCACTCTTCTACAGATGACAGGGAACAAATAGAAAAACAAACCTCAGACAGCAGACACTAGCACCATCAGGCTAAGATACTTGAATGTGTCATTTTTACAGTAGGATATTTTACTGAAAGCATGAACAAACTGCTTATAAACAGCCGAATAACAAGATTTCCTTAGACGTAGGATTAAAAATAAACCTGACACAGACCAATTACATCCCTGGAGAGTGGATTTTACACTGCTGTGTCACTGTCTAAAGACACGGGAGGCTTGTTGTTAGTGGGTTAACACTTCTTGAGGTTGTGAGTCCGCCGCATGCAGATCTGTTTCCCCTCCTTCATCTTGTCCCTTTGGCGGATCTGTGGCTTTGTCCTTGGCGGAGAGCTTAGAAGATGGTGCTCCAGCGTTTAGGGGGTGGACGGGACTTGGTTTCTCCCTGAAGTGAATTAGAAATATGGTGAGGAGGCTGAGAAAGCATCTACTTTCTACCCACGCAATATGGAATCTAACAGAAATCTGGGGTGGTGTAGTTTTCAGTGAGTTCATGAAAGGTCTGATTGTCAAATACTTCACATTTTCTGGGACTCATAGAGATCCACACTGAAAATAAACCCTCAAATGATTTGAGGTAGATGGAATTTCCAAAAGAATGATAAATGAATTTGTGTATGAGAGATTTAATATTTGGGTTTACATGTAGTGTCAGTGTAAAAATAAATGAATGTTGCTCTTGAGCTCATTACTTTGTTACAGTGTCAGGCTGTTATGAGAGCATGTTGATGAAATGAATGTGAAGTCTTCAAACTGAAGTGACAAATCATACTGTATTTATTTATTTATTTATTTATTACTCACTGGTGTCTGATGAGAGCATCACTGTTGCATTTGGGCAAACACAGATAGGACAAGTTGATTATGAGGTCCAGTTTTATAGATGAAAAGAGGGAATTTAGAGGAAGACAAGGAGGCAGACATGCAGTGGGCTCACCAGGTTGAAGAGTCTGGACAGCGTGCTTTGGTCTCTGCGTCTTCTGACCGGCGACTTTGTGCCCTCGGCACGTGGCGACGAGGCCTAGAAAAAGATGCTCTATAAGCACAGATGGAGACGCGAAACCATGGCCTGAAACCACATCTGCTGCTTGTCACTTTTTTGGCCTTAATGCAGATGTTTAATTCATTTTACTTCAATGGCCTTTTTCTTTTTACAGGGAGAAACATGCCACCTCAGAGCGTCAAGTGTCTTAAAATGATTTGTTACAAAGAGCACAGTCACTGCTGTTGTTGGACAAGAAAACAAATATCCAATAATATTATACATGTATCTTTTAACAAATGAAGAAAAGACTGCGTGCTTTTTTATTAATGTCCAAACATTAGCACTTTTTGGACATATATCTATTTGTTTACCATCCATTCTCTTTAATTACATTTAGATCGAGCTTTAGGTATTTGGATCTATGTTTTCACTGAGTTTAGTGCACTTTGCTACAAGCTTTATTTCCCATGTGGACAAGTGAGCTGATATAAAGTTTTGGAAATTAAGCCATATAACTTTTAGAATGTAAATAATTTAACAAAAGTATGGCTGTTTTAATATATGACTCTAATCTCACTTCTGTTCCTTTTAAGATAAAAAAAACAAAAGTGCAGGTATGTGGTTTCTCTGCAACAGCAGCAGTGTGATGTGGATGAGAGACGGTTGTCTCCGTTCCTTTATCTGTTATTGTGAGAGAACAACATGACTGTGATGGGACCAGATTCACAGAACAGCAACCTGTAGTTAAAATAAATAGATGATTCATGGTGAAATGACACGGGAGGATCATCACAAGACACACTCATCTGGCTGTTCACAGTTTCCGGACATATGGAAAGACACAAAGAAGGTGGGAAGCCACAACAGATGAATCAGTGAGTCACCTCCGGCGCAGAGGGCATGGAGGTGTGACAGAGAATCCGCGGGGCAGAGGGCATGGAGGTGTGACAGAGAAACAGAGGTGTGAAAAAGAAGAGGATGAGCAGGGTGATGCAGGCCAAGAGGTCCTAAGAGAAAATGTTTACCGGTTGTGGTTCATAAATAGTTGAGCAGTTTCAAAGTCATCCAGAAGCAGCGAGTCGCTCTGGATTGAAGCAAAGAGGGAGGAAATTGAAATGTAATAACTCTGCCCATATATGCTGGTTTCAAAAATGAAAAATCAACACATCAATCAGTGATTGAAAGTGATTTGCTGTGGCATCAGTCCTGAGCTAGTGCTTTGCTGGTGAGCTACTGTGTGTAAAAGCTGGTGAACTTGGTTTCTGAAAGATCTTGATTTCAGATGCTCAGGAATAAAAGTTATTTCTCTCCAAGGACGAAAGCAGTGAAACACAGAGCGAGAAAAAGGGAGTGAGATTGAAGGTTAGGTAAACAGGTGTGCTGCAGCCAAAGAATACATCGCAAAGGAGCTTTGTACACACAGGTTTAAACAGGATCAATACACACACACAGCGGTGCAGTCAACAGT